CCTGAGAGGAAACACAAAAAGTGACAGAGTTTAAATTCCCCGCCCTTTGCTTCACTCCTCAGTTTATGCCAGTGTATTCTTGCACCCAGGTGCACGAAAGGTATTTTACCTCAATTCAATCAACAAAAGACACCATTACCGGTAAGTGTAACTGGTACTTTTCCCCCATCATCTTCCAGGACAGCACACCTGAGACGATAAGCAAGGAACTCGGGCCTACCTTAGTGCGGGACTACTGCCTGTAATACCTTCCTACCCGAATGCTGACCCTATGCGCCCAAGAGGTCCCCAACGATCTAGTGGAGTGAGCCCTCAGGTGTAAAGAAGCTGAGACCCCTGATTGCTCATAAGCTAAGGAAATGGCTTGTCTAATCCATCTAGCTATTGTCAATTTAGATGCTTGCTGACCCTCCCTCTGGCCGCTAAGCAAAATCAAAAGGTTACGGACTTCCTGAAGTCACATACTAAATATGTCAGCAAACTGATATCTAAAAAATTAAACTCTTTTCCCTTCCATTCTTAGGGTTTTGACTAAAAGATGGTAGGACAATCTCTGGTGTCCTGTGAAAATGAGATGCCACCTTGGAAAATAAAGGGGATCCAGTCTAAGCACTACCCTGTCCTCTAATACTACCAGGAAGGGTTCCTTGATCGACAGGCTCTGAAGGTCCCCTATTCTCCTTGCTGTAGTGATGGCCAACAGGAAGGCTAGCGTAAAAGATAACAACCTAACTGAAATCTGTGCCACTGGCTCAAATGGTGGCTTGGTCAACGCCTCTAACACCAAGGTTAGATTCCAAGCCGGAAAGATATAAATCTTAAAAGAAGTCTTTTTCCCTGGCCCCCAGAAACCTCTTAACTGGGGGCTCCAACGCAAGTCTCTGGTCTGAATAAACTGATAAGGCCATGACTTGTACCCTTAGGGTGTTTACTGCTACATCTTTATCCACCCCTGCCTGGAGGAATTCTAAGATCACAGGGACTGTGAGAAGAAAATCCCCTTTTTTTGACACCAACTAGAAAATACCCCCCACCTTAGCGTTTATCTTTCTAGTCACCTGTTTCCTACTGAGGAGGAGAGTGTATCACCTTCTCAGAACACACCCTTCTCCTGAGGATCTCCTTTTCAAGAGCCAAGCCGTTAACTGAAAAAGCTCCAGATTGGGGTGCAGTGTTGGCCCCTGCAAGAGGAGATCCTTCCTGACTGGAAGACGCTGTGGGGGAGCCATGGACCACCTCTTCAAGGTGGCGAACGAGGCTCTTCTTGGCCACTACGGGGCTAGTAGGAACAATCTGCAACTAGACCAGCTCAACTTCTGTAGCACTTGCAGAATCCATGCCGGGGGATGGGGGGGGGGAATGCATATGCCAGCCCGAAGTCCCATTCCTGGACTAATGCGTCCAGACCCTCGGAGCTTTGTTCCCAGGCCATGGAAAAATAACGCCTCACTTTCCTGTTTTTACTGCAGGCAAAAAGGTCTATTTCCAGGTTACCAAAAACCCGAATAAACCCTCAGGATTGAGTTCCCACTCTCCCTGGTGGATTAACTGTCAGCTGAGAAAGTCTGCTTTCGTGTTGTCCGAGCTCTTTATGTGGACTGCAGATACTGAAAAGACTCTGTTTTCTGCCCACACTAGAATCTCTTGAGCAAGGTCCAGGAGTTTTCTGGATCTGATGCCCCCCTCGTTTAGGTATACTAATATCGATGTATTGTCTGACAGAATTTGGACTTCCTTTTCCGCCATCCTGTCCTTGAAGGACTTCAAGGCCTGACCTACTGCCAACTCCCTGTAATTGGAGGAGGTCCCCCTTAGGTGTGGCTCGTATGGGCTCTGAGCTTGTCGGTCCTCTAGATGAGCTCCCCAGCCCCACTGGCTTGCGTCGGTGGTTACCCACATTGGGTCCCACTGTGCCAAGGTCTTCCCCCACCCAGATTCTGGGGTTTGATCCACCATCTTAGTGAATCTTTCGTATACTGCGAGAGTGACACCCTCTTATCCAGTGAATTAGACTTCAGGTCCCGTGAGGATAGAAGGAAGAACTGAAGCTCCCTGGAATGCAGCTGCACACACTCCACAGGCTGTCGTGAGCCCTATGACTCTCATGATGAGCCTCCGGGAGCAATTTGGAGCCATAATCAACCCAGAAATGGCCCCCACTACCTCGTCGATCATTTCTTTGGGTAAGAAGAGCCTCTGGACCCTGGAATCCACAATGTACCCCAGGAATGGCTTGGTCTGGGAGGGATTCAATGAGGACTTTTCCCAATTGACGATCCACCCCAGCCATTCCAAGGTAAGGATTACTTTTTCCAGTTCTCTCAGAACGTGTTGCTGTGAGAACCCGTAGATCAGCAGGTCATCTAGGTAAGGCATAAGGGAAATTCCGTGGAGGTGTAAATACACCACTACCTCTGCCAGGACTTTGGTGAAGATTCTCGGACTGGCCGCCAGCCTGAACAGAAGGGCTCGGAACTGCCAATGACTGACCCCCCTTCTCTGTGAATATAGCGCGACCGTAAGAAGGCTTGAGAATGAAAATGAGGAGGTAGGCGTCCCTGAGGTCCACCGTGGCCAGAAGTTTGTGTACAATGTAAATAGTCTCCATACGGAACTTTTTGTACTGCAAACCTTTTTAGGTTTATGATCAATCTAAATTTTCCTGATGGCTTCAGGACCATGAAGACATGGGAAAAAAATTCCTAAAAAACTGGTCCGTCGCCACCAGGACAATTACCTCCTGATCCGTTAAATCTCTGATCCCTCCCAAGAGACTCTCTGCCTTTGACCTGTCTCCGGGGGGGTAAAACAACATTAAGGGGGACTCGAAAAAACTTCATACCCTTATCCTCCTTAATCTTGACTGGGAAATTCTTTCCCTTCTCAGCGGATCTAGATAACACCTGATCTAACCCTCAGCCAAACAGCAAGAACAGGGAGAACATGCAAACTCCAGGCAGTTGGTGCCATGGTTGAGATTCGAACCAGCGACCCTAGTACTGCCAGGCGGAAATGCTAACCATTTAGCCACTGTGCTGCCCAAGTAAAGGTAAAGGGTAAAGTATCATCTCTACTCATGGCATTGGGTATTTCAAGTGAACAAAGAAAACCTAGCACAATGAATTTAGTAAAATGTATTATATGCAATTAAAACAACACTGTTGCTTACCTACAAAAAAATCCTAAGCATGGTAAGTAATCCATGTCTTCTATTGCAGAAGCCAAGCTTTAGATTTTTAAAATCTTCTTAGAAAGTGACAGCTTTGCATTAGGCTGAATACACACAATTGCGTTAACGGCACATGACCACAATGTGTGGAAATGCGAGTTATCTGCGTTGGTGTGCTGCAGTGGCATTCATTGTGAATGAAACCCCAACACATTGTGGTGTGCTGTGATACTAAAAATAGTGCATGCACCTTTTTTTTTTTTTTTTGCTGCGCTAGGAAGCTCATTAAAATTAATGGGCTACCGTAATGCACAGCAAAGTGAATGGGCCATTAAACATCTGTGCACTTAATGGAATGTTTGAGCAACATAACTGGTCAATATTGTAAATGTGTGGTCACTTTTGTTGCAGACAGTGCATCTTCCCACACCCTGCTCATCCAGGTTGCCCCCAACCAATCAATGAATGTGCACCTTCACAAACTGATCATGGGCAGGAACAAGTTATATGTGTAAAATAACAAAAAACTAACCACCAATATAAGGGGGCACGCTGCCTCCCAATTACTGTCAATGAAAAGTGGTATTTTTTTTTGCCCCATTACCCTAAACACCAATATAAGGGGGCATTTTTCCCTGAAACTGATCATCAGCATGTTTTCCCACTGACCCCTTACTAGACTAAAGGTTAAAACAATAGTTCTAGTTATGCTTTTCTATGCAAAGGCGGCACAAACTTCTTTTTACACAAGCCACATTGATCTCATGTACTCACCATCAACTTAACGGGCATTGACAATGACCACCAATGTAATAGCAGCATTTACGGTGACCAACACCAATCAAAGAGGAAAATAATATACACATTAGTCCTGGTTTCACAAGACTACTTGTATGATCATTGTGGGCTGTAAAGTAGCAGCAATTTGTTTTTGCTATGAAAGTCTGTGTTTTTGAATTACACTACTACTTGGATTAAGTATATCCTTTATACAATTTGCACATCGGAGATGCTGAATTTGTATACGGCATACAATATTACCTAAATTCAGTTGGAAAAACATTGCTTAGGAGGGATTCTAAACACACAAAACAAATATTGGAACAATCACTAACATTTAAAGAGACACAAGTATGTTCCTTATAAAATAATTTATTTCAAAATACTGACATGTACAAAATAAAAGAAGTCAAGATAATTCAAAACAGAGGGAACTATAAAAATCTTCAAAGGAAAGACATTTCCTACTGCAATCCACTAACATTTCACAATAAAAAATAGCAAATAAAAAGTGTGAATACCTGACTGACTGCTGTGGGCCTTTCCTATAGTTTTATACACAAGCCTCATCAAAGAACTGTTTGCTTAACCATAAAAATGCACATTATAGCCATCAAGGTAGCAAAGCACTAAAATGCCAGGTCTGCTTAGTACATACTGGTCCATTCTTATTTAAAATGCTTCATTGTAAACTGCAACAAAAACTGCAGGGAAAACAGTAAAGTATACTTACCTTACACCTGGAATTTGCCCAGCAGAGGGTAATCTCACAGGCCTTTCCAAGAAGATCCTGGGAACGTTGAGTAACCCAAAAGAAGATGCTTCAGAATAGTGCAGGAATGTCCTTATACAAGCATTTGGATAATCAGAGTTCCCAGGATTCTGATGCCACCGTGCATGAAGTAACTATGTTTCTAACTTTATTCCACATTTGTCTTTTTTTACATGAGTGATGGTGGGGGCAGTATGTAATTGGCTTTAAACCTTAAAAAGCAGCCACATTTATATTGTTCATTGTGAAAGTACATTTTGTATATGAAAACATTTAAAGTTAGTCTTGTGAAATAATATCCAGACTGGCAATGTGCCTTATTGTGGGTCTCCCATGTGGACAATTCCATGGCTGCTCAATCTCCCCCATGTGTGTAACCAGTTTCTTCATTTCATGCAGGTTTAATGCTGTCCCAATCATCACCTGCGAGTGCAAACACAGCGTCAGACAATTGCAAGAGTCATAATTCAAATGAACATTCTAACGTGCTGAGAAATTAGGATTTTTGGTTTTTACCTGTAAAATAATACACTTACTATATCACATAACACAGGACTTTGATATTCAAGACTTCTTGGTTTATGCTGCTGCCTTCAGGTGCATAGATACTTGACAAAAATAAGAAACAAGACAGAAAGCCCCATTCCAAGCATATCCCCTCCATATTGAAGTCTTCAGTAGGAATCCCTGTCCAGACAACCCCTCCACAGCATAGCTAGCTCTCAGTTTTATAGCAAGTGAGGTGGAACACAAGTAAGAGGGTAGGGATCTCTGTACTGTACGCTAAAATTTCACAAAAATTATTTCACAGTTAAACCAAAAATCCTAATTTCTTAATTACAGTCGAGAGAGGACTGGGTATGCATGACTACTTGTTATTCCCAAAGCAATGAGCATAAGGGGGAGGTAGTGCAGCAACAATGCCAACACGCCCAAAAACCAAACAGAGGGATTCCCCCTACAAAGCTTTTGCAGGGGAGTGAACATCTACTTGTCATATCTTAGTAAATGTGTTAAAAAAAGACCAGGTAACAACCTTAAAATCATGAACAACAGAAGCTTGATGCTGAATAGCCCACAAAGCAATGGAATGGGTGGGGATGAGCCTGGCTATCAGAAAGACAACCTTCAAAGCAAGCAACCATAAAGCAGGATGTAAGATTGGACCCTGTGACAGTAGATCTGGCAGACCTAGAAAAGCCCATGGTTTCATCTGCAAAGAGATTTAAAATGTTGGCGAACCTCGTTCTTCTTGGCCAACCTGATAAAATCAGTATTAGTGGAATGTCCTCCACCTTTATCCTGCACAACAGACAAGGAAGATGCTGAAGTGGACAGAAGGCACAGATCAGGGAAAACGTATCCCAAGATGTCACCAGGGCACCTACTGCAAGTGCATAAGGATCCCTGGTTCAGGACACAAGCCAGTCCAGTTTGTTATTGAATCTGAATGCTAAGAGATCCACACCAGGCATCCCCACCACAGACAAATTTGTGTGAACACATCTGGGTGAAGCGCCATTTCTCCTGCATTCAGCTGCTGACAGCTGAGAAAGTCTGCTTGCCAATTTTCCATTCTATGAATGTGCATGGGTAGAGGGCCAGAACGTGAAGTTCTGTCCAAGACAAGATCAGGACCACCTCCCTATGAATATCAGGACTTCTGGTCCCTCCCTGATGGATGGTGTATGCCACAGCCATGACATTTTCCAACTGCACCCTGACGGGCTGACCCAGAAGGCAGACACACCAATGTAGAAGAGCCAGCCAAATCACCTAGGATATTGATTTGCAACTTCTGCTCCTCTGATGACCACATTCCCTGAAACAAGAAGCTCTCCAGGACAACTCCCAGACAGGCTGGCATCTGTCCAAATCATTGGAAGGATATAATGATGATATCCAATATTTGTGTTGATACCCACTATTCCAGATTTTCAAAATTAAGTACGGACTTCTAGAGCAAGCAATTACTTCGACTCCAGAGCCAATCTGGTCTTGGGAGTCAAATGCATTGGCAGATCCAGGGATTCCTAATTTTTGTCCTATACTGACAGGATATTGAACTGCACAGCTCTGGAGAGATACTGGGAATAGGTGACTGCTTTGAAGGCAGTTACAAACTTCCTGAGCCATTTTATGCATGCCCGAATCGAAGGACCTTCCAGCGACCTCAGGAACCTGGACTTGAAGAGACAGGCATTGCTAGAGTGAAAGCTGTAGCTTTCCTTGAGCTGCATATACAAATGAAAGACATTGTGTTGGAACTTCTGAAGGTTTAGCACCCAGATGAACCTCTTCAAGACTTGTACCATCTGCTGGATATTAATTGTCAACTTATGAGGCAATTTCTCCTCGAGAAGCAGGATGTCCACGTATGCCATAATGCCCCTGGTCCTCAACCCAGAAGTGAGAAGTGGAGCTAACACCTTGGTGAAAACTCTGGGTGCCTTGGAGGTCAAAAGACTGTGCCACAGACTGATAGTGTTGATCCTCCACTGTGAATTGCAGAAACCAGCCACTGATGCCAGAAAGTTTGTCTGATGAAGCAAAGCAAACACCAATCAGGTGTACTCCATTCTGAATTTTTGTAACTTCAGGAACTTGTTGAGACCTGTGAAATCCAGAATAGGCCGAACATCTTTGATGGCTTGGGAACTGTGAACAGGTTAGACTAGAAATTTTCAGACCACTTTTGAGGGCCACAAAAAAACTGCTCTTTTTGTGGATCTGAAAATACCCTTGAGTGCATACAGCTTGGAGGGGGAAAGCAGCAAAACTCCAGCTTCTAGCCTCTGGGCATTATGCAGCAGACCCAGACATCTGACTTCTTTGGTTTAGGTGGCTGCAAACACCTAGGTAAGCCCAATGGGCATACATCATTTCTTTTAAGTGAGGTGCACTGGAAAGATCTTAGGATTTTTTTGGACCCAGAACCCAAAACCAGTGACTATAGCAGGAAGAGCATTCTGGTAGTGGTAACATAAGGTTAGTGCCTGCCACATATCTGCCAGGAAGCCCACCATGGTCTTATGTGCCTAAGACATCCCTGGACCGTGACATTTCCCTGGAAGAACTCGTCTTCAGATGATCCCTGATCCTCAAAAGCTTCTTCTATGTCCACTTCTTTATCCTGAGGAATTTCCTCTGATGCTTTAATCTCCTTCTAAAAGGGATGAGGGGAACGAGCGCGTCCAAGTTTGCATCCCAAGTAGTAATGCACCAAAATTAAAATTCTGGACCGAAACCGAAAATTCAGGATGCACTTGGCAGAAAACGGAAACTGAAACGGACAGTTTTTTTTTAAATATATATTTCTTATGTATATACAGTAACCTAAAATAAGTAAGGATGCACCGATACCATTTTTTGATCAGTGAGTACGAGTACCAATACTTTTGGTCAAGTATGTACCGATACCGAGTACTGATACTTTGCAGTGCGATTTGCATCAATACAAAATGTATGTTACAGTTTTTACCCAAAAAATGCTGCGCTTCACTCAGTAGACAAACTAAAATAAATTTTCCATAACATATACAAAACACTGTGAACAAACTAAAAAATATAATAGACTGTAAGATAATGGTGGCACAGTCTAAAATCAGTCCAACATTTGCACCATCCACAATTCAGTGTGTTCGCACTGCTCACTATTGATGTTAAGCTTGTATCATGTCTCCATTCCTTTCATCATCACTTTGTACTGAAATATTGTAAGTGATATAAACCCTCCACCAGCTGTACTCACACCTGGAGTATATGACTGAACCGGTAAATATGGTCATATAGCGCTTGCGTCCCTCATATTAGGCCTAATAATGACATTCCCATACAGATCAGATTAATCTATTTCTTATTCTTAGATCTTATATACTCCTCTTATGTTCCTCCTCCACTTAGCAATCCACATTGCCTCAAGTTGCGAGCGTCGTAACATCATCCAGCCCCAATCCTACGTGTTACATCACAGGGTCACGTGGCTTCATCAAATGAGCCACCACTATGCTAGTCTATTATATTGTTAAGTTTACAGTGTTTTGTATATGATATGGAAAATGTATTTTGGTTTGTCTACTGAGAGTGTGGCACTTTTGGGGTAAAAATTGTGTCATATAACACAATATATATATAAAGAGTGTGAATTAGTGTGGGCGATTTACAGAGATATAGAATTTGCACATAGCGGCTCACAAGGTTTTTATATTTATAATACAAAATGTATGGATGCAAATGCACCACAAAGAATAGCAAACAAATTGAAGAGGAATGTCATTCTTGTCCAAATCGCATTTGGTTTCCCCACTGCTCCTGAGTTCACACAGGAGTGGTGTGGGAAACCTTGCTGCACCGATCCCATGCTTAGTGCAGAGTGGGAGAGAAGGGCATGTGGGGATGTATACCTTGGTGTTGGTCATCGGCAGATGCTCCAGATTCTCAGCTGTAGGAGAGGAGAGAAAGCTGCAGAGATTTGAAAATCCCACAGCTTTCTCTACTCTCTGTGCAGGGATGACAGTAGGGGCTAGATGGCTTCTGATTGGTCAGCACTGTGACAGTGCTAGCCAATCAAAAGCCATCTAGCCTGTACTGTCATCTCTACAGGGAGAGAAGGGAAAAAAACATGGGGATTTAAAATCCCTGCAGCTTTATCTCCTCTCCAACAGCTGAAAATCCGAAGCATCTGCCTCCATCCTCCGCCTGATAGCTGACACCAATGTACACATCCCCACACACCCTTCTCTCTCACTCTCTGCTCAGCATGGGATTGGTGCAGGGAGGTTTCCTGCACCGCTCCTGGTTCACACAGGAGCAGTGGGGAAACCACATGCGGTTTTGGATAGGAATTGTATTCCTGTTCAAAATTGCATGCTATTCTTTGCGGTGTATCGGTTTGGGAATCAGGAGCATTTTCACGAGTACTCGTGAAAATACTTGGTATCGGTGCATCCCTAATTGAAAGTATGTGTGTGTATTTGTGTGTATATGTATGTATATAAGTTTATATATGATGCTGCAGAATAATTTTAAGGATAAGTTCACCTTTTGGCAAAAAAATAAAAAATGCTAATTTTTTGGCAAGTAAAAAAAATGTGTTTATTATTTTTTGTTGCAGGAGCCTGGAAATCATTGTCTCAGCAATCATCAGATAACATGCCAATAACCCTGTTTTCGCCCCATAATTTTCAGCAGCCAATATACCGGTGCATCAGTAATCCCAAGCCAATGAAAACCCTTGACAGCAGATTATGTACTATGGATATGGCTGCAAAAAATTCTTTCCTTAACACAAAGTGGAGGTGTGTCCCCCTGAGACAGTGAAAATACCAACTAAAGGCAGGGATTCAGAGCTAATCTGACCCTTTGGAAAGCCTTTGCAGGGCTAACTGACAGGAGTATTTGAGAGCCAACCCAACCATCCTTCTGCCCACCTCTCGGCCTGCATAAGGCCATGGCTTCCTGAGGGTCTGTAGGGCTATAAACTCCACAGGGACAGACCACCCAGCTAGGGAAGTGTAGGCACAAGCCAAAAACTAAATTGGCAGCCAACCCCTTTGATAACGGGTCCCCTCTGTAGGATTACTGCCCTAGACCTGTAAATCACCCTGCCAGAAATTTCACCTGATACACTGTACTCAGGAGACTACTACCCACGTGATCCAGTGCCATCCAGCAACATTACAGGCCATCCCTGCTCTTGTATACAGGGTACAGATATCTCTTGGCTTGCTGGCAGTATCAACCGATCTGGAAAAAGCCCACCTCTTTCCCTATTAGAGATGTTAGAAACAGGGCAGGATATATGGAATTCAAGGTCCATGAATGAAGTCTTCAGAGAGACATAGGGAGGCATCCATCACCTAAGGACAGTAGCTAAAAAGTGAGGTCCAGCTGAGCTGGGAGGGGTAATGCCTGGATCGAGATTCCTGCCCTTTTGGCCAGTATCTATTCACTTGAAATAGGTAATATAAACTAAGTAATTAAAAAAAAAAAGTCTTCTGTGTCTTGTGTTGTATGACTAAGAAATATACGTTGACTTTAACGTGTACATTCAAGCTTTACAAAAGCACCTTAAGCTGTCCCATATGAGCACAGTGTGCTAAACTAAACCAGCCTACCAACCAGGGCTCCCTTTCTGTTTAAAAAATTAGTGCCCTCTAATGCCATGGGAAGAGGTGCCATCTTGTTCTTTTGGACCACACATGTGCAGGGTGTCCTCTCTCCTGTCACCTATGATGAGCCCAGAGGCTGCAACCTGAGAGAAAACTCACAAGTTTGGCTTATAAGAACAGAAAGGGTTCCCAAGGCACTAGGGGCACTGGTATTAATTACTGTTCAGTGCCTATAATAACTTGAAACTGAGTAATTGCTGGCTGCAGTAGATTTAAAGAAGCTTCTTTTAAATGCAGCTGTGGACTTCATTGTTTAAATAGAAAGGGAGTCCTGGCTGATAGGTAGGCTTAGTACACTATGTCAATATACCCATATGGGACAGCATAGTGTGCTTTTTTGTAAAGCTGAACTTATACTTTAAGTAAATCTTCACCTGAAAAAGATTTATTTTTTTTGGTGGGTAGAATATGGTTTGATACCCCACCTGGTCCTCACTGATTTCACCACTGTTGACTACCCCGAGACACTATCAAGAAATGTTGCCAAGTTGCAGAAGTTTCAGATTTATTGGCACTAGGACTTCACGAAGGGCCATCTATAAGGTATGATACATTGCACTGCAAAAGCCTATGGAGCATCTTTATGGTACAGTCAGATTAACTAATGTCAGGGATGTACCTTGTATTTAATGTTTATGCACTTACAAGCCTGTAAATGATGAAGTTAGAAGAATGCACTTTTTTTTTTTAAAACTTACAGACTTCCTGCATGCGCGGGAGGCAAACATCTGCCTAACACGAGAAGGTCTGCACATTACTCCTGGGGAGTCACTAAGCATAAATATAAGTTCCTCTATGTCCTGTTGGCCAAATGTCCAATTTTTACTTGTAGGCAAAGAAACTAATTTGACTCTTTCCATGACTGGAGCTGCAAAACAAAACAAGATGGTTTTAACATACTGCTGAGTATATACAGGTGAAACTCGAAAAATTAGAATATCGTGCAAAAGTTCATTTATTTTAGTAATGCAACTTAAAAGGTGAAACTAATATAAGAGATAGACTCATTACATGCAAAGCAAGATAGTTCAAGCCGTGATTTGTCATAATTGTGACGATTATGGCTTACAGCTCATAAAAACCCCAAATCCACAATCTCAGAAAATTAAAATATTACATGCAATCAATAAAACAAGGATTATACATAGAACAATATCGGACCTCTAAGTATAAGTATAAGCATGCTTATGTACTCAGTACTTGGTTTGGGCCCCTTTTGCAGCAATTACTGCCTCAATGCAGCGTGGCATGGAAGCTATCAGCCTGTGGCACTGCTGAGGTGTTATGGAAGATCAGGATGCTTCAATAGTGGCATTCAGTTCTTCTGCATTGTTCGGTCTCATGTCTCTCATCTTTCTCTTGGCAATGCCCCATAGATTCTCTATGGGGTTCAGGTCAGGCGAGTTTGCTGGCCAATCAAGCACAGTAATCTCATGGTCATTGAACCAGGTTTTGGTGCTTTTGGCAGTGTGGGCAGGTGCCAAGTCCTGTTGGAAAATGAAGTCAGCATCCCCATAAAGCTCGTCTGCGGAAAGAAGCATGAAGTGCTCCAAAATCTCCTAGTAGACGGCTGCGTTGACCCTGGACTTAATGAAGCACAGTGGAACAACACCAGCAGATGATATGGCTCCCCAAATCAACACAGACTGTGGAAACTTCAGTCCACTCCTTGTGAAAGTCCCCAACACTTTTGAATGGCCTTTTCCTGACAATCCTCTCCAGGCTGCGGTCATCCCTGCTGCTTGTGCACCTTTTTCTTCCACACTTTTCCCTTTCACATAACTTTCTATTAATGTACTTTGATACAGCACTTTGGGAACATCCAACTTCTTTTGCAATTACCTTTTGAGGCTTTCCCTCCTTATGGAGGGTGTCAATGATGGTTTTTCTGCACAACTGTCAGGTCAGCAGTCTTTCCCATGATTGTGATTCCTGCTAAACCAGACTAAGAGACCATTTAAAGGCTCAGGAACCCTTTGCAGGTGCTATGGCTTAATTAGCTGATTAGAGTGGGACACTTTGAGCCGAGAATATTGCACCTTTTCACAATATTCTAATTTTCTGCGATTGTGGATTTGGGATTTTCATGAGCTGTAAGCCATAATCATCACAATTATGACAATTCATGGCTTGAACTATCTTGCTTTGCATGTAATGAGTCTATCTCATATATTAGTTTTACCTTTTAAGTTGCATTACTGAAATAAATTAAATTTTGCACGATATTCTAATTTTCTGAGTTTCACCTGTACAGTTCAAAGTTGTCTAAATGTTTATTTAGAAAACAAAAACACAGCAACTACAACGAAAAATCCAAATGCATGAGTTTAGTTTTATCTTAAAATAAAAAAAAGTGATTGCTCCATTAACCCTTCTTTTGCCAGAGCAGTTTTTGCATTTTTTTGTATATGTTTAAATATTAATTTAGGATTGAAGATTATATAAAACCCCAAAATATTATATATTCTCTGACAGCAGACACACTAGGGAATAAAACAGTGGTAGTTCCAATAATTTGATTTGTGTCATATGATATCAGGGCAATGGTTTAGGAAATGCTAAATTTCAGTAAAAAAATACACTAAAGTTAATTTTAGGGCAAATAAACGCAATAAATGGACCCCCCCTTTCTTTTTTAATATAAAAGATGAGGTTGTGTCAAGGACATAGGTACCCAGTATGTTATCCTTTAATATTGCCAATGAAAGGCAACAAACTTCAGTACCCTATATTTTCAATAGACGGCACTTTAATAGCCACTATAGGTCATCAGTTTAGATGTAACCATGAATAATGTTCCTGGAATTATTGAACTCTCTCTGGCATTTGCAGCGATATGTAACATGTGTAGGGCAATCAATGTTTTTGTGGGTAGACCCCCCTGAGGCATGCATTTATGTTTGTACATTTGTTTATGTGGAGATCAAAAAAGTTAGGGGGGTGGGGTGATTTTAAGTGTTCAATAAATTCTGTCGACTTTTTAAACATTTTTTTACAAACCATTTTTTTTTTCCGAGGCCAAACAGCTCCCTATGCGATGTATTTTTGGTGATAGGTTCTCTTTAATGAGACATCAAAAATATCACTAATGTCTCAGAGCTGTATCCTTCAATGATTGAAAGAACAATTAAGAATTTCTGTAACTCTTGCATCCATGGCATCTTTGCCATCTGCTTTAGAAATGTATACTATATGTATACATGCAGGTATATGTTTGGAAGGTTTCTTAGAGTTTGTTTATACATTTTATATTGTTACTACAAATAAAAGAACTGCTGCAAAAGAGGGTTTAATTCCTAACTCCAACCCACTACATCCAAAATGGAAGGAATTGGTTTGGATGCAGGAACCTTTTTAATAGCAGTTTAATTTTGTACTGCACAAAACTCAAAGCAGATTCTAATGCCTGTGTATACTCTATAAAAAAGATAGAAAAGGGCATCAGAATGAATCCAATGTCACTGCCAAAATATTGTCAACATTTTCTTTACACATACCATCCTCATCAAAGGTAAAATCAAACCCATTTTTCTTGAATATTTCCACATTGTCCGTGAGAATAGACTCATTGACTGCCGTTAAATGTAGTTTCTGAGGTCTGTAAAAGTAGAAACAAACATAAGATTAGTTTAAAAACGGCAGAACATTTCTATCTGTGTACGTTTTAAAATTGCAGTTTGACAACCTGCAGTTTGGCAATTACTGTCTGGTGTCCATTTCACCCTCACGGAGTACTGAGATGTCGTTGGATGCCTTGGTACACAGAGACACTGTACCAAACAAACCCAAAAGGACTTGGTAACGTGATTGTTTACATGACTGATTCCTCCCTATCCTCTTACAACAAATAAGGGAGTTCAAATTAGGTTGGGAGCGGGGAAAGAATGAATGAATCAACAGCTGCAGATTCATTCAATATGTTTCACAGACAACAGGCTTGGCTTTTTTAACCCTTTCAAGCCCCCTCTCCTACACATTATCTCCAGTCTATCTCTCTAGTGGCTTGTATATCAACCCCTCAGCTCCCTTATCCTATACATCTACTCCTTTATTTCTGTCCTGCAACTGTACGAGATTTGTATATCTTCTCTCTGTTAATGACCTGTACAAAAATGTATTAGTGTACAGAAAAATGGTCTGGTAATAAAGGGCTACAGAAGTGGTTAAAGTGTTCACTCACCGGCCACTTTATTAGGTACACTTGTTCAATTGTTCGGCAACACAAATTGCTAATTAGCCAATCACATGGCAGCAACTCAATGCATTTAGGCATCTTGACATGGTGAAGGCAACTTGCTGAAATTCAAACTGAGCATCAGAATGGGAATTTAAGGGACTTTGAATGTGGCATGGTTGTTGGTGCCAGATGGGCTGGTCTGAGTATTTCAAAAACTGCTGATCTACTGGGATTTTCACACACAACCATCTCTAGGGTTTACAGAGAATGATCCAAAAAGAGAAAATATCCAGAGCGGCAGTTGTGTGGAAGAAAATGCCTTGTTGATGTCAGAGGAGAATAAGCAGACTGGTTTGAGATGATAGAAAGGCATGCCATCATGTGAATATGGACTAAAATCCCTGAATTTCTAAAATCTCTAAAATTTCCAACACCTTGCTGAATCTATGACATGAAGAATTAAGGCAGTTCTGAAGGGAAAAAAGAGTTTAACCTGGTAATAGCAAGGTGTACCTAATAAAGTGACCAGTGAGTGTATGTGGAGGCAATTTTCCCCCCCAAATTTGAACTAAATAAGGAACACATAAGTTCTTTGTCAAGCTCTTTGTCTTTATTGTTGCATCCTGCGAAGGAGAATCACCCCGCTGTTATTCCTGACAACCAGGAAGACAGGAAAATCCAAAATTTTACGTTATCAGAGCAATGAGTGAGGGAAAATCCTCCAGTGGGGCACCTGTTCCTGTGATAACTCTCCAAGACACAAATTCTGTTTAATTTGGAGATTTCACCATTTTTCTGATGCATCTCCAGGATAAAAAAATGAAGGAAACTCTACATAGTTGGACACAGACAGCAAAAAAGTAACTTGATAGGGATTTTAATAATTTTTACCACCACTACTATATATTTTAAGTGGATCTAAACTCAACAACTAAAATTTCATATGTTTTAACATGCTAATCTAAACAAGTTGTTTTCTATGTATATTTTAACCAGTTTTTCTTATATTTATATTATGGGGTACACATCTCCCATTAATGCTCCTGCTTTGTCACTGTGTCATATGCTTTTCTTTTGGGGACTACAATCAGTAATTCCAATGCACATTGTGCAGGCATAGTCCACCATTGTGACTATCGAGAAACAAGTCTAGAACAATGATGTGCAGTTGACACAATAAGTTGGAGGAGATCAGTGCCACCAAAATAAAGAAAAAGTGAAAAACGTATTTTCTGAAAAAAGGCAAATCCTTTGTGAACATGTTACAAGTTGCACACTGCTCACCCCGATTCCCCACCCCCGCAATTCAAAAAGAGCACAATCGTGCAGAGCTCTATCCACATGGCAGCAACATTCATTCACAGAGTTCTGTGAAATAATGAACTACAAGTACCGTCGGCCGCAAAGCCAGCTTGTAGTTCTCAAATTAACTATTAGGGATCTAATGAGCGCTCTAGGTAGTTCAATGATCTTCCTGTCATTCAGTAACTGTCTGCCCATATTGGATCTGTTGATCGTGGGTGCAATGCTTTATAGGCTCCTAAAAAGGAATAAATAACAGCTGATAAAAGATAAAGATGAACAAATTATTTTGGGCAATTGCAGGTCACTGTTTGCTATTTTTATACAGTTGCTCTACCCAATACATTTCTATTTACGTATTACTAGCCCGTGCCTTACAGGAAAAGTTCAACTTACTACATATTTAGGGTGTAACAAGCTCCTATACAGCCACCTCCTGCTGTCAGCACTCTCCTCTCTGATAGCGGGCAAGCGTTTCTCTCCCTGCATCCACTGGGGCTTTTGAAAACTTTGCTGCTGTATGAGCAGAGATTCTTGTGAATGAAAAAACTACAGTTACCATCTTTCTCTAGCTTTGTAGCTGAAAGCCCGTACAGGAATATGAGCACCAAGTTGGAGGACAACTATGCAAGAGCCTGCTGATCGTGTGTAATGCTCTGCAGACTCCAGTACAAAAAAGAAAAAAAAAACTGCACACTTTTTTACCTGCAAAAATATGTGCATTCATTATTTTTGTGAAAGATTTACTTAGCCTTTAAAGAGTAGACTTCACAAACCAAAACAGATATTCACATACCTCAGCATAGCGACAATACCAGCTTAAATGGAAAGCAAAGTGCTTAGCCTCTCACAGCCATGTTGGGGGTTGGAAATCTTTAAAGGAGGTTCCATCCCGCATTTAAAATTTAAATTAAACCCAACAGTCTAGTACAGCAATGGGCAAACTACGGCCCGGCGGACCTTTTAATCCGGCCCGCGGAGCGTGATAGATTGGCTGTCAGGATGTGTGTAGGCGGGGCAGCGTGACGAACGTGAGGGGAGCTAGGCTCCTCTCACAGTCCGCCCTGAAGACCGGAACGGCGCGGGAACACAGCGAGAGGAACGCGCGCAGCAAAGGTAAGTAAATTGACACAGGGGGGGACTTGGCTTACTACTTGGGGGGGAATAGTACTATGGGGGATGAAATACTATATGAGGGATGAATTAATATGGGGGATGAATTACTATATGGGGGATGAATTACTATATGGGGGATGAATTACTATATGGGGGATGAATTACTATGGGGGATGAATTACTATATGGGGGATGAATTACTATATGGGGGATGAATTACTATGGGGGATGAATTACTATATGGGGGATTAATTACTATGGGGGATGAATTACTATATGGGGGATGAATTACTATGGGGGATGAATTACTATATGGAGGATGAATTACTATATGGGGGATGAATTACTATATGGGGGATGAATTACTATATGGGGGATGAATTACTATATGGGGGATTAATTACTATGGGGGATGAATTACTATATGGGGGATGAATTACTATGGGGGATGAATTACTATGGGGGATGAATTACTATGAGGGATGAATTACTATATGGGGGATTAATTACTATGCTTACTATGGGGGAATATTACTATACTTACTATGGATGACACATACACATCATTCATCTACTCTTGGTCCGGCCCCCGGGTCCAATATATGAACCCATTGTGGCCCTCAAGTCAAAAAGTTTGCCCACCCCTGGTCTAGTAGGAAAATAAACTCAGTACTTCACTCCTGTAGGCCTTTCATAATGATCAATGAAGGTACATTTTACATGGGTTCTTAGAGTTGTCCTATGGCTGGATTAATTCAATTGTACATTCATGTGTCCACCCAAACCTATGAAGGCCTGAAAACCATTTAGGTGGGGGTAACTGCTACACTGACAGTAATGTCAAATGCTTGCATATGCATATCAATGACATCAAATATTGATAGTTTTGGCCTCTTCAACAAAGCATCAATAATGGACCACCATCTATGACACATCAGGATGGGCAGAAGGAACATACCAGCACTTTTCATTCATGGAGGCTCACTCCATGCAGATCAGTTGAAGTTAGCCATAAAGCAATTTAGCATGACACTGAGCACCAATTCTACTTACATGATAAGCCTTTGTCCTTGTAACACAGTGTTCTGCTGTAACATCTCAAAGTTGTACTTCTCATCAGTTGCATGCTGGTCAATAATGAAAAGGTCAGATTCCAGCTTGGTTATTATGAATCCCAGATTGAACTGGCCAATTATTTCCATATTTGCAAACATGTCTTTGCTGAAAGAGAAAAAAAATATTTTTTGTGTTCATTTTAAAATCCTTTCCTTGGAATCCATTGGGACACACAGTAAGCAATTCACCTTCAAGTTATACTGCCAACTACAGGAGGCTAACACCCTGGCCAAAAAAAAAGGTCCGACATAAACCCTCCCTACCATGCCTCAGGTTTAGTAGTAAGGAGTACTAAGTACCTCACTGGACTCTATAGAGGAGATTTGCTATAACTGGTGCACACAGAATCTGGTGCAGCTGTGCATAGGAACCAATCAGCTTCTAGGTTTTCTTGTCAAAGCCTAATGCAGGCCATAGATGGGTCGAAAATCTACTATATCCATATATAGATTATTATTTAATTTGAGAAAGCCCTGCACTCTTCAGTTTTGTAATAAAAAAGTAATGTGTTCTAATTCCGCTCCACTCAATCCAAAACTAAACAAAACGTTTTGCCTTTAGTTATACTTTAAGTCATATTATAATTGAATATTAAAAATTACCTTTCCTTTTCAGTCTGCAGCACTGTAATTTTCTTTAAAATGCAAAGCAATATGGCTACCTGTAGGAATTCTGTACACAGATGGTGTATAGAACGCCCCCTGAAAATGTAATTTCCTGCTTGTGTGTTTGGCTTACTGATTTTCCCAGAAGTCTGCACTAAGTCAGTCTGCAGATGGACACAGATAAACTAAAAGCTATGTCTTTACAATAACAAAAAGGTAGGTATCTGCAACAAAGTTTGTTAAAATCCTTGCAATGTACATAGATCACCCACAGGGGAATGTTTTTCTCTCAACAAAAGTGGAGTTACTCTTTAATAAACCTACCGGACCCATTATGTAGTAAGCAGTCCCCTGAGTGTCCCTCAATGAACCAAATGATAAAGATTTGATAAGCAAGCACAAAAATCCTTTTTTCTTTTTTGTCCATTTATAGACATTGGAAATCATTAACTTTTGGGACATCCAGGGGTGGGCAACACAGCAGACAAATACTAACAGGCCCAAGAAAATAGCAGAAAAACTGGGGCTGCCTGCAGCTCAAAGAGCTGCCCAACTTGACCTTAATCTGGCATCAGATGAGGCTTCAAAAAGAAACTGGTAGAACTTGGTAGAGAATATGTGACCAGAAGGCTAGGTGGTAGTCTGGCAAATCAGGGAAACAAATCAGGGAAATGCGTGATGCCAAAAAATCAAAGAAGCACACAAAGTTCTAGTAGAAAGCACCTTGACAGAAAAAGAGTGGAACCTGTTCCTTGAAATTTTAAGCTTGAATAATGGTCTGACTGTATTAGCCACCTCTAGAGAGGGTGGAGCAGGAAGCTGCTTTATTGGGGCATTCAGGATGACAAAAAGGGAATCTTCTTCTGAAAGTAGTAACTGAGAGGCAGATTGACAAAGCATAACCACATCCAGAAAATGGAGGAAATTTCCTTCTGTTAAACTGAAACCAGCAAGAGTGATAGAAGAATGATGTCCTGGTTCAGATGAAAGGCAGAGACTATCTTGGGCAAGAATGAAGTCCTGGGCCTCAGCTCCAGCTTGTCCCTAAAAAGATTTCTTACAGGGTAATGCTACCAGTTCAGATATTCGCCCCACAGAGGTAAAGCTTACAAGGAGTTTCACCTTGTGGGTGAGGGTAGAAAGATGTCTTGAAATAGGTTCAAATGGCAGTTACTAATGCACAGAGAGCCAGATTTGGGACTACGGAATCACAGTGGAACAGGCGAGGGAGATACATAGTAGATTCCCCATACAAAGGAATGGGAGGCCCAAAGTCTCTGAAGCAGGATGGCGACCTTTGATTCTGTTGAGTTACCAAATTCTGCTATGTTTGATGCTGAAAAGCCCAGGAAGCAGTAATGGTTCTAGTAGAATAAGCCTTCACTGGATAGGTAGGAACTCTAGCCATCACTGCATAGGCCCTAACCACAACCTGATGGATCCATCTGGCAACGGTGAAATGAAATGCAGGCAACCCCCTTGCAAGAGTCCTCCAGGAGCACAGAAAGAATCTGATCACCTCACAGAATCTGCGGCAACAAGGTAGACTCTAACACATCGAACCACATACAGAGAGCACCACCTCCTGAGGGGGCTTTGGAGCAGGACAAAAAGATGGAAGTGTAGAGTCCTTCCTTGCGGCCTCCAGAACAGAATTTGTGTTGGTGGGTTAAAACTCGTGATAGGGCTCTGTCCAAGGTGAGGTCTAGGTACTCCAACTAATGAGTCAGAATCACTGCATATTATTGAAGGTTGGGTATTCAACAGAAAGCCTGTAACATATGAGAAGTGCACTTTGAATTTGAACTAGAAAAGCTACAATTTCTGGGGGAAATTGTGTGAAGTGTTCTTGCCTCCACCAGTAGTCTACAACTGGAGTGGACAGAGTAACTGGGTGGAGTGGCTTGTCACTCTGCTGCCTGCTCACACACCTGGGTTCCTATGGCAACTCACTCTACAGCAAGGGCAGAGAAAAGCGGATAAAAACAAAACTGCTCCAACTTGCTCACTTCACTGGCTGTTGCCATCTTCAAACGGTTGTAGTTTAAAAATTATAAATCCTACACTGAAGAGCTTTATATTGTGAGAATCACAAGACCCAGACCTACATTTTGAAGCATAGTTTGTCTCTGAAATATTAAAAATGAAGGCACAGTCGCAGTTTAGAAATTGCCCTTCAAATTTGAGGTGGCTAGACTGGAGTTTCAATAAATGTCAATGGGCGGCATGAGTTGCAAACAAATAGTCATATTGTGAAAACTATCAGGACTATGGCTTAGCCGTGTACATTGTTAGTGGCAGCAGGGATAGCTGAACGTTTTGATATAAGATTTGTGTAGGTGGGCTTGAAAATGAGGGAGTGGTGGCAGTTTAGAAATCATGTCCTGATTTTTCAGCTCACACTCTAGCTTTTGTCAGCTCCCACTCTAGTTTTGAACATTCCACCATTCATTCCTATGGGACCAATTTCACCACAAAAACGCCAATATTTCGTGAACCATTCAGCGAAACGTTCCACAAAGTAATAGCACACCAATCGGGAACAATCCGCACGTTTCGGTATATTACTGTCTATGTAGTGTAAAAACTGTGGGAGGAGTTAGGGTGGTAAATTTGGCTATAAAAATATATATGTGAGATAACAGTAAGTGGTCTTGCCATGCAAGAACACTTAATGAGCAGACTATACCCTCAACTGAAGATCACTCAGGTATCCCATAATGTGAACATCCTGAGATGGAAGCAAGGCAAGGCCATGCCAATACCTTTGTGAACCCTCGAGGGGCTGCTGACAGACCAAAAGGGATTCCTACAATTTAAAAATGCCCCTCACCCAAGGCAATTCTTAGGAATGTTTGATGCAGAGGATAAAGGGGAACATGCAAACAATCATCTTAGGTGTCCAGAGAAGCCAGAAAGTTTCATTCTTGCAGAGAGACAATAACTGACCTGGAGGATTCCATACAGAATTTTTAGACTGTCAAGAAATGGTTAAAGAATTTTGAGGTCTAAAATGGGGCCACATCTCAGTTTGGCTTTGGAACGCCTAAAGACACCAGCAAATAAACTGAGTATTGTTCGGAGTGGGAGGGGTTAAAGGGGAGTCCTCACAGATGTTTCTCTTTCCACTGTCCAATAACCTGAAGGTACCTGCCTATAACCCAGTTATCGCTGTCTGCTTTCTGTACTGCAAGATCAAGAAATCAAAAACGTTTTTTTAAATAGGTTTTTCTGCTTCCATTGAATTACCTGATCTCTTTTCGGAGCTCTTCTTCTGCAGCCTGATTTTCCCCTGGCCTAATCTTTGCTCGGAATCTGCGGAACATTTCAGAATCCTCCTTCTGTTGACGTTGTTTCAATTTATTCATTCTCCTGGCCAGGCGACACATTGAAAAACTTAAAGGCACCATTTTCTTGATAACATTCACTGGTACATCGATGGAATCAGTTTGTAATTTTTTAGTATTTAAAGTATATTTAGCCTCTGATTTCATACGCTTACAGTCTGGAGAAGAATCATTGTTTATTTCCTTCTTTCGGGTAGGATGGTTAAATGTCTCCTCCGTTTCATGGTAAGGGTGGTGTCCATCAGTTGCAAATTGCTCCATCTCCTCCATTTTCATTGGTGTTTCGAGTGAACTCTTTGGACTTTCAGTAGCACGGTGGTTGGAGATATCAAGAGTGTGAAGGCCTACCTCACTATCTGAGCTACTAATGGTTCCCTTTTCAGAGTCGTAGTCATTTTTCACTAGAGTACCTTCACCAGAAGAGTTTGGTGTTCCTGACTCTTCGTTATTATCACAGATGTGTGATGATGATTTGAAGGCACATATTTGGACTGTTGTAGAAAAGTTAAAGGACTGGAGTGTCCTCTGACTGGGGGAAGATTTCTGTCCTTTATTTGGATTTTTTTGGGGTGATCCAAATGATGATTTCTGGTTGAGAGAATAGGCCTCTCTAAGTTTAGAAACAACAAGTGCCCCTTTGTCTGATACATTTTGCTCTTTTGTACCTCCATTGGATGATTCTGTACTTAATTTTCTGAAGCACCCTACAATCAACATACAAAACACAAGAAGTTTAACATAGAAGTAAATGAATATATATTCATAAAAAATAGTTCAACCAGTCCAAATCAATACTGCATCACAGCAGTATATTAAGGGTATACTAAATGATTACCTTGTATAGCAGAAGTCTGTAAAGCAGCTCATTTATTCAAACTTGGAAAAGAAAACTGCCTGTTTTTTCCCACAACTTCTAATTAGGTTTTATTTTCTAGCCTGCACTATGTTACAGCCAGATGAACTGGATACTGAAAGCAATGCATATGTCCTTTTCTCTGCCTTTATAGACAGGTTTATTTACAAAAACTGAAGCAAAAAAGAGGAAATGTTCAGTTTTCCCATTTTCAGTTGCAGCGAACTGAAAGATTCTTCCATAAAGACTTAGTTTTTTTAAACATTTCTGACAGCTTTGCCTATGTAATGCTTGATTACAATATCAAAATTAGTATTTAGTATTATACTATTATAAACTGAAATGAAAAGTGGGCTTCACAACTTTAAAAATATTTAAACATTTTTCTTCACATACTGTATGTCCAAGTTCTCTAGATTTCCCTCTATAAGAAACTGTAACTAAGATTTTGTAATTTATCTTAAAGGAAAGCTGAACTAAGAGTTTTATGTTGGCTGTCATTGCTGAGATCTTTCTTAAAATGCTAGTTCCCTTGCTTTGATTCTAAACGTTCCAGGCTCAGAACAAATACTTTAGCAAGCAAGTCTGGATAAAGTTCAAACTGAATGCTTATTCTGGGGTCAAAGTATCTGGATCAGCATGACAGCCAGACAACTAGCATTATTAAAAAGAGAAGTCTCCACTGGAAGTCAACTTATTTCTTTTAACATAGAGATACTATCCTCAATTATATCCTAAATATTTCATCAGCGAATGCATATAGGAATGTATGCATTTTATAGATTTGCTTAGAAACTCTCAAAGGCTGTTCTGTAATATACAATATATTATTGTAAAACTAGACCTCAAACAATGTTAGGCTCTAGAACATAAAACAACACAACATAACAGACAGAAATCTGTGAGAAGTAGTGTGACACATTGAGAGGAGCAAAATAAGGCATTTTCATAAATATTCAAATATTTTAATTAACCACATGGTATTTTAATTCTCCTTTGTTTGCTCCTTAAAATAAGCCAAGAACTACAGAAAATGGTCATTGATTTTCTTGCCTTGCCAATAAACTGAAAGATAGGTGGATGCTACTTTGAAACAGGATTTGTTAGATTAGTGTCTTATAAATTGCTTTGTAAATTGGCTGCACATGGTGCTTCAGTACTGACAGTCCATTTTAACTGCATCTGTTGTTTCTACATAAATCCAAACTGCTATAGTTAATGAAAAGGCATAAGGACTTCTAGCAGACATAAAAGAGTACCTGTATGTACGCCATTTTTAATGCTTAAAAATAAAGTCCTACATTGGAATCCACAAGATCCCTGCAACTACCTTTACGAGCCAGGAAACCCATCTCTATGGGCCCCTCTAAAACTAGCTTCACTTTGTAACTCAGAACCTGATTTCAGAACTAAGAGTCAGCAAATGCCAATCTCATGGGCAGGGATAGTACCAATAGCCACAGATAAGGATAAGAGGCAAACTTGGGCACAGACCAAAGGTTACTGCAAGTGTAAAACTCAAGACAGCTTACTTTAAACTGTAGAAACAAAAATATTTCCTTTTGGGTAAGACAGATGTCAGAAAAGATAGTAAGAACTAAGCTAAAGAACAGTAAATGATTAAAACAAGGGCAAAGAGACAACATCTTGATAACAGTAATAACTGCTAATGCAAATTTTATGAACTAATGCACTTAGAAAGACACCAACTTGGCATCTGCTAACAAATGTGATCATATATGAAACATCCTTGATGCAATTTATTTTCACAGAACATAAATCTAGTGAAGACAAGGTAACATTTCAGCTAATGAGGCCTTATTCATAGCTAAAAACCCAGCGTGGGTGGTCAATGTAGTAACCATTTAAACTCTCTGTGCTTGTTTCTATCTCAGGTGGCCATCTTATGTGAACATCCTGGGTAAAAACTTAATAAAATATGCAACGAAAAATATAACGACAATAAAGCCCTTGTGTACAGCACCTCTATTTTTCATTCCAGCAGTATGCCAGATCTCTCAGTTCTGCAAACCATAGGTTCATATTTAAAGTCTCCGGAAAAAGTTTAAAAAATGTAGTTGCAAAATTTAGCTCCTCTTATTGTGGTTACAAACTGTCAAAAAACACTGCATACTACGATGTCTCAACCAAAACCAACCTTCGTTGACGCGTTTCACCACTGCTGGTTAGCTCACAAGGATGGGGGAACTTCAACTATCTGTGTGAGCAAGCCAGAAGGTCAAATGCCTCAGGGAAGGTTGGTTTTGGGTGAAGGCATCAATGTATGCAGTGTTTTTCAAAAATTATTAAACACAGAAAGAAGAGCTAAGTTTTGAAGTTTGGCTTGAGCAACTCTGTGTATCTTAAATTCTTGAGGATAACCCCCCCCCCCCTTAAAAAAATGCAGTGCAGACAACAGCTCCTGTGTGGAAAAAGCTTGCAAACAGTGTTTACAGACTTTAGTTATATGTTGTAACAATATGGTTATAACATTTTCATGGAGTTAATTGAACTTTACCACAGCAGATTTTTTCCTGCACTGTAGAATTCACTGTTTATTATATTATTTTCATTGACAACCTTAAACATAATAAATTAATTTCAGTAACTTTATAAAAATAAGCAGCCAATTATTTTCATATTCTACAAATAACATGAGTCACACACCTGTGGCATCCACCAGAGAATTATTTAAATTTAGTTTATTCACACTGCCACTATACATAGCCAGAAGAGAGGTCTTTAATATTGCCAGTAAAAGCTTCTCTTCCTGCAGGAGAATTTGCCTTTTATCTGGGGTTACATTGATATCAACACATTCTGTAGATTAAAAAAAAAGGTAAAATTAAAATTTAAAACAGATCAGTTTTCAAAAAATTTAAGCAAAACAGCACTAGCACAATATAAATGAATACAGGAAATCTATAAGGTCATCTGTCAGTAGGTTGAGTGCCACATGTAACTCTTGACTACTTTAATGCTGCTTTTGGCAATCACAAAATAGCAGCGCACTTGTCTGCATGAACCACTTAACTTATAATCCCAAAGTTACAAAGTTTTTCCAGAATTTACATGACTTAATGAACAGTTTGTATTGTTATGTTCCATAGTTTTAACAGTACGCTTAAAGTGTATCTAAAGCCTTTTTTTTTTTTTTCAGTTTTGGATAAAGTGCAACGGGGTAAAGCTGGCCTTAGATGAGTAGAATTTTAAATGAAAATTCTCGGTAAATATTCTAAGAAAGTTTGCTTTTTTACTAATCATTAGGGGGTCAAATCTACGTTAATTTTCAACTGCAATGTTGAGAAAATTTGAAGGAGCAGGATGGAAAATTTTTCTCGGACAAATAAATTTCGAATAGTGTATGCAGCTTACGAAGACTCTGTTCGGACTGTATTATTAGAAGTAGAGGTTAGGATTTGGCCATTTAAGATGCAAAGGTCATGGTCCTTCGGGTAGTTGGAAGAAACAGGATAGCTCGCTTTCCCATTTGCCAAGAATTGATAACGTCAGTGAAACTTGGGATAAGCCAGCGTTGTAGCTGTCTGGTGTACTCAAATTTAGTTTCTTGACGAGGGTTTAACCTCGTGGCTAGCAGAGGTTATAAATCGGTTACTTTTTTTTGGATCGTGTTTTTGAATCTTGATATAAATGGAGCGAGTTTGAAAAACTGTCCATAGTAGATGATGATGTTTATTCGGGTTTAATCAGATATATGTAATTGGCATCCTCTCTAGTGATAGACCGAGCTTCCAGTGGAATAGGGGCTTTTGAGGATGAGAGGTGTTGTCAGTTCTGTGTGGAGTCGGTTACTGCCATGGGGGGTCTGGACCAGGAATGGGGTGGACCAGCTGGAAAATAGGCTGAGATTTATGGGGGGTGTGTACAGTACGTATATGTCGGACGGAATAGACTGCCTTTCCTTTCATAAGCGGGATAGGGACATCTTAACAGCACAGCCAATGGAGAGACGGCCAAGGTGCTTATTACCAAAAAGTGGCTGCAAAAAGGAATGTCTGCGTTCTGCCGAGGAAGCTGACATCTTTTGTTAACAAGGGCCTACATGAGCATATATACCCCTGAGCTGATTTAAGACAATATAAAAGCTTTTCTAGTGCTAAAATCATAGTTGTTATGAAAGTGGGAAAGTTTAAGTAGCTTGAGTCAGGTGGCGAGACGTTGATACTTGAGACGTAAATTTATTTATCAATAAAGGGGAAAAAAATAAATGAACAATGTAATAGAGCTTTCGTATTGAGTGGGGAGGGAATCACCCTGAGCGTTTAATTATGATTTAGGGAGGAAGGGTGAACGAGGGTGCGATGAATAGGGTGAAGTATAGACATGAGGCGGAGAATTTGGAAATATGATAATAAATAATGATTGTTGGCTGATTCGGCGAATTCCAGGAGTGAAATTCGATTCGTTAGGATCGCGGCTCTGCTAAAGACGTGGGGGGTCCTGCTGGGTGGTGGGGGTATGAAAACGGAAAACTAGGCTTAAGAGAGCCTTTAAATGTAGTGCAGCAGAGAGATGCTACCTTTGTGAATTTAAATGCCCTGGGAGCTGGGGAAGGAATTTTGCGAGTTATCGGGGTATGGAAAGGGAGCTGTGAAGAAGGGCTAGAAAGACAAAGGATGAGGAAGAAGGATAAGCGGAAGTGTGGAGATCGAAGGAGAAGGGATGTATACGCAGGTTGTGACAGACGATGATCGAGAGAATGCGCGGCTGGAGAGGGTTAGAAGAAGGGGAGTGTATTGGGAGGAAGGAGGGGACGGAGAATGAGGTATGATGGGCAGATATAGTCGGGGGGAGGCTTGTAGTAGTAACGTTTTTAGGTTTGTAGACTGGGGTATAAGGATGAGAAGTTGATGATGGGGGGGAAGATTCTGGCTGAAAGAATAGGGGGATCGAGGATGGTAGCATGGGAGGGGTAACATTAGCCCCCCCACCCTCAAACACAAGGACTAAGGGTTATGTAGAAGATATACGTGAGAAGGTGGGAAGGATGGAGAAGAAAGCTGGGGGATGAGGGGGAGAAGGGAGAGGAATGAGGGGGGAGACAGGTGAGGCGGGAGCGGGAAGAGGAATGAGAGGAGGGGGAGGAAAGGGATGGGAGTAGATTAGATATTTGGAGAAAAGGATTGAGAGGAGGGAGGAGGGGAGGGAGAGAGAAGAATGAGAGGGAAGTTTGGGATAGGTGAGAAGTAAGGGAAGGATGAGGAGAAGAAGGGATGGGAGGGAGGGAGTGGGGGGCGGGAAGGAAGGATGGGGGGAAGAGGAGGGGTGATGGGAGGGGGGGAGGGGGGAGCTGGCAGGAGGAAGAGAGAAGGAATCGCGGGAGGGGGTGAGGGAGAGAGAATGAGATGAAGTAGGGGGGAAAGACGGCTCTTGTCTGAGATGGGGGGGGGTCTGAGAAGGGAATAGGAAGTCGAGGGGGAGGAGAGTATGAGACAGAAGGCAGGTCTGAGTAGGACTGGGGGTGGATGGGGGATGGAGAAAAAGGGGCAGAAGGAGAGTGGAGGATGAGAGAGAAGGGTGAGAAGGAGGAGGGGACACAGGGGAGGGCTGAGAAGAAGGAGAGATAGGGAGGGTAGACGAGTGGGGAGAGGAGAAAAGGCTGGAAGAAGGGGGGGAGAAGGGTGGGAAGACAGGTCATTGAGCGAGGGGGGATAGGAGTTGAAGACGGGTAGAGGCGGAGAGAAGGGAGGGAAGGGCGGAGACGGAGGGGGAGAAGGAGAGTGGGAGGGGAGAAAGAAGGAGAAGGACAGAAGGGAGACAGGGAGGGAATAAAGCGATGGAGGGATGGAACGGATGAGAAGAAGGAGGAATGGAGAATGAAGTGAGAATTAAGGAAGGTGAGTGAGAAGGAACGATGGAGAGAAGGAGGTGAAAAAGGGATGAGAAGAGAGGAGGAGAATTTAGGATGAGGAGGGGGATATATGTTTTTATGTAAGAAGGATAGGAAGAGAGAAAAGATGAAGGCTGCTGAATAAGGAGAAGGTATGAGAACGAAGGATTAAATTTATTTAGAGAAGAAAAGAAATAAGGATGAGACCCAGGAAGACATGGGAAATTAAGGGAAGGATGAAGAACCTCTAAAAGAAAGGAATATACAAGAGCACTCCAAGGAGGGAGACAGGAAGAACAAGGATTCAAGAAGAAGAATAGGATGAGAATATCAGAACAGGAAAAAGAGGGGGTGAGGATAGCGAGGGATAGAATAGAAGAAGAGAGAAGGATGAGAAAGGGGAAGGAATGAGGAAGGAGTAGAAGAAGGAGATAGGAATAAGACAGGGAAGGAGGAAGGCGTGGAAGAAAGGAAAAGGAGTAGGAAGGAAGAAGGGGATTACTAATGTTAGGAATAAGTTTGAGATCTAAAGATGAGAAAGAAAAATAAGGGCAGACGTGAGGTAGAAGGAGAAGAATCGTAGGGAATGGAGAAGAAGATCGAATGACGCGAATAATGGGAGAGAAGTATGTTTGAAGTGATAGTAAGGATGGTAGAAGTGAGAAAAGGAAGGAAGTTTCGAGATACGGTGAGAACATAAGGCAGGGGAGGAAGGATAGGAAGAAGGAGAAGGATTGCGAAGAACGGAAGAAGGAAGGAAGGATGCTTTAGAGGAGAATGGTAGAAGGAAGTGAGCAGAAGGAGGGAGAAGGAGAAATAGGAAGGAGAAGGATCGAGAAGAAACGAAGGAGAATTCCTGCAGGTGAAGGAGAGAAGGAAGAAAATGAGAAGAGAGAAGGCGGGAGGAACCTAAGGAGAGAGCTGGATGAGATGATGGGGAGATGTGGGAGAAGGGGTGAGAAGATGGAGAATTTGGATTGTTTTTATTTGGAGAAGAGGAGAGAGGAAGGAGGGAAGCGGGGGTCGGGAAGAGCTTGGTTGGCGACAAACTGTTTTTTTGTATAGGACTGAGATACAATTGAGGAGATGATGAGAAAGAAGAGATAAGTGGAGACTCCGTTTGAAGGACGACCAGGGCTGTATTGCATCATGGAGTGTTGGACTGTTCTTTTAGAAGGAGAGAGGTTGAGAAGACTTAGGAGATGGTGAGAAGAAGGAGAAGTCGTACTGTAAGGAGGAGATCACACGCAGTGGAGTGAAGGAGAGTGGAGATCTAGCTTGAGAAGACAGGAGAAGCATGAGAAGAAGCGAGAAAGCGGAAGAGTTGATATAGAAATCCAAGGATGTGAAGTTTGCTCGAAGTGTTGCAGTATGAGAAGAAGGGAGGAGGAGTCAGAAGAAGAAGACCATAGGGGGATGAGAACTTGCGGAGGACAAGGATGAGATAACTTCGGAAGGATGAATGCTAGGAGAAGGGGGGTGATTAATTTGAAGGAGAGGATAGACAGATACAGGATACAAGGATGCGAGGAGAAGTAGGATGAGAAGAAGTTTGTTTGAGTGAGTATTTGGCAAGGGGAGATGGACCCAGTGGAAGATATGCTAGTCTAAGCGAGAAAGGATAAAGTGACATAGATAGGAGACCAGGATGAGAAGAAGCAGGATGTAGGACTAAGTAAGGATGAGAAAGATGTAATGTCAAGGTTGAATGGATATGGGATTGAGAGGTTGAAGGAGAATGGGATAATTAAGGAGCTGCATAATGCCAGATTAGAAGAGAGAAGATGTCCAGAAGAAGTTAGAAAGTAATGAGAGATTAGGGAAAGAAGAAGAAAGTAATTTATGGAGAAGGATGGAGACGCGAAAACCCCTTAGGAGAGTGGAGTAACTATAAGAAAGGTAGAATGGGAGGAGAAGATGAGAAGGAGATGGAGGAAGTGAGAGAAGGAGGGAGAGGATACAGAAGCAG